GAAATGTGGATTACGAAAAAATGGGATGAAGATTTTTCTGCACAGTCCATGCCGCTCACGCTGAGCCCTCCGCCTCACTGTCCCTCGGACGTTGAACCTGCATGAGTGGCCAGCTGGAATCCCCGCCCCGTCAGACAGGCTTTCTTTAATCCAGTATTCAATTGGGACTGTGTCATCACTACTGTCCAGCACTGTCCCCTGCCAAGCGTCTGCAGGCGTCCACCAGCGGGTTTGTGATGATCTGATATGAAGTTATTTATTTGGCTAAAGAGTCACTATATAGGTAACTATACACAGGCGACATGTTATACGTTTCATTTTCAGGTTACTTTTCAAACTGACCGTATGACCGTTGGAAAAGTATTTTATGCAATAAAGGTAACTTTTGGGGCAATCGTCTCTAAGTTTATGTATCAGTACTTGACAGCTACACTGACATTATCTTAGTAGTTGTTGTTTTTTTTTTACTATAATTGTTACTGTGAGTGACTTGAGAGTTTGTTTAACAACCTGGGGACTTGTTGTGTGACTGACACGTCGCCTGTCTGAAAGTTGATCCCGGTGGGATTGGGAAGAAGAACCAGGGAGACAGCTGCAAGTGAAGAGACTTAAGTCCAGTTGGGACTCGCTCCCCACTGTTTTGTGTGGACATGAATCAAACGTCCAAATAGTTGTTGCATCTATTTATGAACTTCTGACCCCGGGTCTGACCTCGTGCTAACAACCCCTGCTGCTTGTATGCATTGAGGTTTTCCACCAGCTCCTTCTCGCTCTTCTCACGGCTTCAGCGCTGCAATGTCCTGTTTTCTGTTCCTCTGCTACTCGTCTGACATTCCCTCCCTGTTGACCTACTTCAGACATACACCTACACCTGTACACATAAAGTACATGTCGATGCGATACACAAATAGCAAAACATAAGAGTCTTTAATGTCTAGAAAATAGCATGTCAACACTGACATATCATAGTCTAATCAAGTCACCTAAGTGCTATAAAACAGGTTACTATTTACACGTTCAGGAGCTTTCAAATGAATTGTCCTTTTAGCTCTATTTTTGGTCTCCTCCCTCCCCTGAGAAAAACATCCAGCTCTTTAGCTGCCAACAGAGCAAACTAGGGCAACAGAGACGGAGTGTTTAGGTGAGAGGGATCTGCACTGCATTGTCAGCTGTAACCGCCGTACCAGATCAGTGAGTGTGCGATGAACTCGCGTGCACCAAACAAAGCTGAGAAAGACTTGGTAACACTTTACTGTCACACTGACAGTAGTTTTTGCTCCTTTAATAACGCTGCGTAGAAGAACAGGAAACAGATTTGGTTGGTCAATAACTCTAAGTGGGTTTGTTGCAATGAGCGACGTCGTTCCTGTTACAGATGGTCACTGATCCATTGTGACATAAGAATAATGAATAGTTCAATATATGCAATAAAACAAATTTTGGTTGTTAAATAAGGCTTACTAAGTATATATTCAGCTCACAATGATTTAAACCCAGTCTCATCATCGCCAACCAAATGTGCGAGAAGCTACAGATATGATAAACTTTTTGAACCCAAATCAGTGCGACCCAAGTTGCAGATTTGGACGAGCTGCAGCTGCATGATATGCAGCAGCCGTATGTACACGCTGCTCTTTGTGGTGAGGGCAGGTTATGGTTAAGGGTCACAGCCACTATTGATTGGGGTTAGGTTAAGGTTACGGTCATAGTTACAATTGCACTGGGGTTGGGGCTTAGTTTGGGCCCTTGTTAAGGTAAGGGGGGGAGGGGGTCATTTAATGGTAATGCAGACTTTTCAAACAACCGTGGCTCTGGTTTCATATTATGCAAGATTTGGAATGTGCTGGATTATGACAGACACAGTTTAATTTTGGTTCTCTTATCATATCTAGACTACCTAAATTCTTTTGTTCTTATTTCACAGTGCCTAACCTAGTTTATGTTTCAGAGTTGTAATGGAGAGCAGATGAAATAACCCATAACTTTTGTCAATGTTTTCATTATCTAATGAATATACAGAGAAATGTTTGCAGCAGTCGTTAAGCCATTCTGCCCGGTGACCTCTTCCCTGCCGTGTCTCGCCCACATGTGATGCGTTCAGGTTAGTCGCATCACATGTAAACAAAGGACATGCGGGCAGCAGACAGAACGTGGGACTAGTGGGGGATCTATTGGAAAAGTGTCCTGAGGACAGACTGGAATCCGAAGTTCCACATACGGGTCTTTTGTCTATTAGAAAACAACAAAGCCTCTGAGGGGAAAACCGCGTAGAATTCTGTTTTTTTTCTGTTGTTGTTGACTGGTTGACATGCAAGCACAACCATTCACACGCGAGGCAATGCGCACTCACTGTCATGGTCACTGTTTCTGTTTCTGTGGATGTCTATGAGAGAAATGTGATACAGGGGTCAGCGGCGTAATCACATCTGGCTTCCATACGTTTCCTGTGTAATGCAAGAAGCATAAAGCGAATAATTAAACATCAGGCCCCCATTCTAGCTTAACAGCAAGCTGGTATTTTTGTGTGATAAAAAATGTGGTTTCTTTAAAAATGAAAAGATCACTCTTGAAATGTCTCGAGCATATATTGTTCTTCTTTCACCTGACTTTTTACTCTCTACGTAACAACGCGATTGACGATGAAAGGGGGGCAACTGACTCGTGGCCCGTAGAGCCAAACCGACATCTGACAAGAGCCATGACTGACTTGGTTGGGGGGGGAAGGGTACGAAAAACAACAATGGCCGACTGTCCCCGTCCTGATGAGGTCATGGTATCATTTGCAGGGAAGAAATCCAATCAAACCAAATTGGTGTTTTAAAGATACTCTCTGTATTCTGCATTTTAGTAAATCTTCATTTCAAACAATCATTACATATTCATCTTTGTAAATATTTACTGTCCAATCCGATGAGAGCGCTGTTGTTTTGAGGTGGACCCGTCCGCCGATAGTTCAACAGCCGTTGTGACTGAAACCAGAAAGCAATCCCGCAGCAAAAGACTTGCTTTCCACTTTGATTTGTTTGAAACTGGCCTCATATACAATATCAAACCCCAAAAGATGTGTTTTTGTTCTGAGGTGCAACCAGAGGACACGGCTCAGCCTCTCAAGACAAAACGCTCTTTGTTTTCCTCTCCATCCTTTCTAGCTAGTGGCCCTTAAGTTAATAGTCAGTAGGGACACACTGATACCGACGGACTCCAAAAGCGAATCATTCAATCGATAGTTTTAACTGCATGAAAATGTTTTACACTTCAATTGTAACTACTTGATTTTTTTTTAAGTGATGAATCTTCATGCTGAGCCTGACTTACATTTGAAAGCATGATCCTACAGTCCACTCCACCAAATACCGGCCTACAGTCCACGGCATCTCGCTGATGTCTGCTGATCTTCTCTAAACCTGAAGACAGAATACACTCCTGCAGTGTCCATCTGCCGTCCAAAACAAAGCTATTGAAGAGATAATAGTTTAACAGGATTATCTGCTGATGATCGTACGGAGAGACAAAAACAAAAACATGCTAAAGAGTGCATTTTTAATGCATATTTAAAAAAAACAAAGTCGGAATGTGAAGGTCCTCTCTCATTCGCTCCGTGTTAACATTCCGCCTGTGGACGGAGCAATCGGTTGTGGAGCAGGAATCCGGTAAGGAATGCTTTCACTGATCGTCCCGCAGAAGTCTCCCCTCCCGTGCACACACGGGGCACGTTGCCCTAAACTTTAGGCCCTAAAGGATCCTGCCGGGGCTGCATTCTGCTGCTGCTGACTCTCTGAAAACATCGAGAGGCTGCGGTCTGCAGGACAGCCGTGCAGAGAGATCCAGTGTCTGCCAGCAGGGATTAACGCCGTCAGATGATCGGCTGTCTTAAATTCAACAAAATACCTCCGCCACGGAACGCCCCACTCTGTAACCTACTCGGGATTATTTTGTAAGAGCACTCCAGCGCACCACCTTATCGCAGCGCAATCAACATGTTTGCTGTGTGCATCCTGTCGAGGACGACAAGTTTGGCAGCAGGAGGAGGCCAGCAGCAGCTGACTGGCAGGATCAGTGTCTGAAGGCTCTTATGAATGACAGCCATTCACCAACCCCCCCCTCACTTTGAGCATCACATGAGCGCTGCCTCCTACCCGGCACGGTGCGGCACAATAGCACGCGGTGTGTTCGATACAGTGCAGCCCGGTGCCGGCGAGGAGAAGAGAGATGACCTGCACGGCGACCTTGGGGAGGGACACCGTCCCACTGGCGACGGAAGGCAGAGGAGAGAGAATTTGTGTCGGCGGGAGTTACCTGAGCCGCCGCTTCGGGTTCCAACCCGCTACCTCAGATGCCTTTGCTAACACTAACACTTTGGCCTTTACCTCACGACCTTCTGCTTCTGCACCAGCGGCCGGGACAGGGAGCGCTCACCCCGCCTCCTCCCTCCTGCTGCGTTTCCTGACGCCAACGTCGGACAGACAAAATGGGAAAATTACCCAATTACGGCTCTAGGGAGGGAGTAGGGGAGGTGATGATGGGAGAGAGGAGAGGAGAGAGAGAGCTGAGGGTTGGAGTTTAGAGGGGCTGCAGTGACATCATCACTGGTGAACTCGTGGCCATAAAACAAAAGTGCAGACGAGGCGAGAACAGGGACGCGGCTGCCTGCCTCTGAAAAGATGCCCGGCTACTACTGCGGTGTCTCTTGTTAGCCGACCGCCCTCCCTTCCGTGACGCCACCGAATCATGAGTAACCGACTCAAGACGCGAAACAACGCAGCAGCGTGCAGAGGGTTGCATAATGGAGAAAAGAAAATACAGCAAATCAAATGTCGGCAACTGTACTCACCCCCCCCCCCCTCCCCTCCCTCCCACATTCATCTTGGTCTCCATAACAAACACTGGGGGGAAACGTCCCAGTAGGCTCCGGTGGAGAAACTCTTCCCATTGCTCTGCATCGTGAAATTCCTAAGAACATAACACAGTGAGCAAAAAGGCGAGCCGATAGAACTACTCACGAGTGTTTCTCAATCTGTGCTGGGATCAGTGAAACGGCAGGTATCCTCTTTTCTCATGAGTCACAGGATTTCCTTACACACTCCTCCTCCTCCTCCCGGCTCCGCTTGTCTTCCTGTCTTTTAGAGGCAGACTAAAGAAACGAGTGGCTGAAGAGAGAGAGAGAGACCTGCAGTTTATGGAACCACGTCAGTATGTTGATGCCTCCCTCCCTCCCTCCCTCCCTCTCGCTCTCCAAGGTCAGTGGGTAGAAATGGCCATACGACTCCTCCCTTAGTGGACAAGTGCTCCCTCTCCTGCACCCTCCTACAGGCTGGACACCCGGGCAGTAATTACCGTCATGATCCAGATTAACTCCTGGGTGTGCTCTTGTTGTGCTCTGCTGGATCGGGCTGGACTCAGCTAGCAGAGCTCGGACGGGACAACACACAGACAGTAATCCTCTCAGTGTGTGTGTGTGTGTGTGGGAGCGGGTATTAGACCCCACGGGAAGGGCCAGAGGCAGCCAGACAGGACGGGATGGGAACACTCTTAAGCCCCGCAGACGGAGACAAACTAGGGGAAAGACACTGAGCTAACAGCAGGAATGCACCAACAGGAATGCATCCTCGGGCCGAAACGTACAGACGTGTCCAATCAGGTTGTGTGATGCACAGCGTGATGAATAACCCACACGTATAGCGGTGGAATGTATATGCATGGACAATGGAGGGGTGGACATTAAAGAGGATCACATTTAATTAACACTGATCGTTTAACGCGGAAAAGCTACGTAAAATTGCGTCTGTAGTCACGGTGCAGACCGGAGACCCTCAGCAGCAACTGGTTCACCGAAATAGTCATCAATTTTTGCTATTTAAACGGATAAACATATTGAGTTTTTGACTTTAGTTATATACATGAATGCGATCAGGCTGTGACAAGATGCGCCCGTCTAATACTTGCTGAGTCGTGGGCGGTCCGACCCCTGCAGAGAGAGTCGGAGAGCTTTGCTGACCGTCTATCTGCTTCTCCCAGTGGCTTTGGATCCTGTGATGGGATTAGAGGGGAGAAGCGTCTGATGAGATGGGATAGAACTATATGCCCAGGATGTAGAGTACAGACCCACAGCAGGACTCGCAGATCATCACATTGATCGACAACTATGTGCCAGTTAGTTTAAGGAAAGATAGGCATTGTTTTCGAGTAATTTTGTATAGTTTCCCGCCGTACACATGCTGGTTGCCATTTATATAAATGGATTATTGCGAGCTACTGTTTGTAATGTAATATAAAGAGCAAACCTTAACTTTTACATATCAGAATCACCGTTCATCCTCCACAAACGCTCTTTCCAAACAGGACATTTTCAGAATTTCTCCAATAATACAGATGATATTAAAATCAATAATAAAGAGTACATGTAAAAAGCTCTTTTTAGACTCACAGAAATATCCTCAGGAAAAAGTTACATCATCTGCGGCCATGGGGGCAGTCTGTTTGGTGTGAATGGAGTGGGTTTGGTTTTGTTATAACGTACTGACACCCTCTGGTTATGCGAAGTAAGTGCAACAGCTGCAGGAGACGTAATGATGATATACACTCAAAAAGACAAATTGTGTTAACACGTCAAATGGATTTGTGGTTCTGAGCTTAACATTTGAAGACGGATTGAGTGACAGTTTCTTTTGTATTTCAAGAATTTTGGAACAGCGTGCTCAAAAGCAAACAAAGAAATACAATAATTAATCATGCGACATCAACTTAAACATAAAGTTGGGCCAGCCAACTGGTCCTTTTTTTACAAAATATAAGAAACAGATGAAAGATTATCACGGGAATGAAAGATGAACAAAAAGGTGGGTGGGTTGTTGTTACAGTACAGAACCAGCAGATGGAGGCACACAGTGTGAAACACAAAACATGACATGATCACCAGAGTCTCCCTGCATCAATGGACCGTCTGAGTCTTTTAGGCTGCATCGTAACCTTTGGTACTATGAAACGGAACACATGTAGAGATATATTCCGTATACGTCTTCCAAAAGGTCCGAAAGGCACAACACAGTGAAAAACAAAAATGCTTCTGTAACATCTGTAGAAAGGTTTATAATCTGCTGAAAACATATTCTCAAGGCATGCTTTGCAATCATTCATCTTCTCGTTTATTTATTTAAATAAAATATCACTTCAGTCCCCACGAAAAATGTTGGGGGCATGTGTAAAAAAAAAAAAAAAAAAGTGACCTAGAATGTTTTTCAACCAGTTCGATGACTAAGATAGATTCAAGAGGAACAAAATGGCATGAGGCAAAGTCAAATCCAAAGACATTTTTTAAAGAAAAACACACCATGACTGGTTGAAGTAAACCATGAATGACAACAAATACAGTACCCTTCCCTTCCTGTGCCCACAAAAAGGCAAAGAGGATGTGGAATACTGCATGAAACAGAGACGGTAGCTCAGTACAAAGTAAATACAGGTTCATGTTAAAAGCAAAACAGAATACTGGTCTTTCCCTCCATCACTGATTATTTATCCACAACGAATCTATTTTGGATGACCTGAGCTGTGCCAGGTAGTCTGCGTACAGTGCATCGGACTACGACCACGCACGTACTCCCTTATTGTCAAGTACATACTGAAAAGCATCACTTACCGTTTCTAACACACGTGTGTCTGTATCTCAGAGACCCGTCCCGTTTGTAAAGGTCATGTGATTTCAAGGCCATCTTTGTCATGTTTCTCTAGGCGTCTGTTAGCTAATAAAATACAAATAAGAAAACACAGCACATGAATTCAAGTGAAGTCGTCCAGAATAAAAAAAAAGATCTGGGAACATCAACATCAGACTAACTCTGAGTACGGAAAGACTAGGTAGTGTTAATAAGCGTTATTGGTTGTTTGGTTGGTTATTATATGAGAGTCTCTGGGGCTGCCACTTTGTGCCTGCTGTCTGAACCGGCTGGCTGTGAACTTTGACCTCACTGTAGGCTTGTACAGTAGACTGGGTCGGGTGGACTCCGTCACAGTGTCAAGGCATAGCATGGCTCATCATGGCAGGAAACATGAAGTAGCACCTGATGGGGATGAAGAGGTTGAGGGCCTGCATCAGGAAACACCAAAAGGTACCTGTAGGGTAGTTTAAGTAATGTTTAAAAAAAGGAAACATCCCTAAATCACAGGAAAGGGGGTGTTCCTGTTTAGTGAAGGCAGCATGAGAATGAAAGTGTGACACAGAATACTGAGTCTGAATAAATGCAGCAAAAATCGCAAACTTGGTCTTGGACCACGGCACTCCATGACGAGGCATGACAGCTCCGTGACCCACAACTGGGTCCGGGGCGACGCGTGTCCGGCATGTACTGTCCTTATGGTTCCTCACTCACATGACACCGTCTCTGATCTGACGCACGGCAGTTGATATGCTCTGCATGGTCTGTACTAACAGCTTCTTTCTCCTCTTTCCTTGCCACCTCTTCAGCGTAGCAGCAACTATCTCTGCTGTACACGCTTGGAGACTTCCACGGGAAGTAAGTTTCAGGATTAGGCGAAAAACAGGCAGGCAGGGGAGGGGAGGATGGGGGCGGTCAGTGGCGTGACTGGTCAGAGCCTCGGACGCCGCGGGGCTTCAGCTGTGGTAGCTGGGCACAGCGGCCTGTTTCTGGGAGAGTCGCAGCAGCTCCTCCCTGATGGCCTTTATCAGGGAGGCAGAGGAGTGGTTGGGAGGAGATGTATCCAGGGGAGGTGGGGCAGACAGATATCCCACCACCGGGGAGTCGAGGTGGACGGGGGGCGCGGAAGGCTCCCTGATACCACCTCTGGGCGCCTGGAAGGCAGAGGAGGAGGTGTAGTCAGGACACTCCAGGAACTGAAGGCACAGAGACGGGGAGGAAAACACATGAGAAGAAAATGGGGGAAACATTTCTCAAGTGAATGAACTAGAGATTGTGAGAAGAGAAATGCAGCAAGGGAATTATAAGCATAAGCATATAGATAAAAACCAGGTACATGCTTAGAGGATGAGGCTGGTATTAGTGCTCAACATGTTTATTTTTAAGATACGGTCGCAAATACCTACTTTCCTTTTCATAAAAAGCTTGGCATTTTTCTAAAACTGATGGGCCTTGGTGAAATGACATTTTCAGTCGTGGACTGACAGGCATTTGATTTGAATGTTATGTACTATTTACTCAGCGCCCATTTTAATAGTGATTAAAGTAAATGTCAGCCAGTGAAACAGGGGGGGGGGGGGGTGTAACAGATGTGCTTCGGAGCCAACATGGAGCTATAAGGCACCGTGGAATAAGCGACTGTATATCAGGCGACATTTGTTCTTAGGACCGGTTGAGTCTTCATTTCATGGGATTTTGACGGATTTGAAGCATACATTTTTACCCAAAAATGTCAGCTAGACAAGACCTTGGTGCTAACGGGATTACATGTGTGATTCACTCACTGCATCTTTCTCCGGCTCCGTCCTGGAGAAGTTGTCCCCGTGGTAGTGGTTCCAGCCGAGGCCTCCGTTCTGCCCAGGGGTCGCCCTCACCCCCGCTGGGTAACCATTCAAACGGCTGGACAACCCCACCTGTGTAAGATGGTGGAGCTGGGCGCCTACACACAGACACACACACACACACACACACACACACACACACACACACACACCGGAGCTACGGTAAGTGACACACAATCCTCAGCAGCACCTTCAATATACTTTGATGTAATCACCGCAGTGAGAGAAGCACTATGTGTCTGCTGTAAATGCCAGAATACGTTTCTATCAGCGGAAGTCATATGATGGCAGCCACATCACGCTAGCGCCTTTAATAATTTAGGAGAGAGACGAGGCTCTTTTGGTTTGACAAGGTGATGGTGTGGGACAGCGCTGTGGCTCGCTTTTAGGTTTTACCTAAATGAACTGTGTCCACAGACAAATAAATACATTCATCAACCTTCAAGTGTTGACTAACTTTTTCTTTCTGTATGAAAAAGTACTTTGTACTTATATGAAGATGTAGGAAGTGGCAATGAAAGAATCAGGCATGTGCCCACCTTGCGCTTTGTTTACATCTATATATGTGTGTGTGTGCCTGTGTGCACCTGTGGTTCCGCCCACTGGTCGCGGCCTGGCAGACGAGGGCAGCTCATCGGCGTAGAGGCCCCTGC